TAGTGCAGTTACTGTGGGTTGGAGTAACAGTTAATAACGAAAGTTGGGAAATTGTTAAAACTGTATCTCAAAGTTTGAATTAATTCTACCATACAAAAGATCTAAGAGAAAATACTGTGGCAGTGATGTCTTCTCCTTTTCCCCCTTTTACTCATCAATAAGAAACTCTTCTGCAAGTGTATTTCATTGCTATTTTTCAAATGCAAAGAAATAGAGTTGTATTTTTCGGAAGAGCCACCATTTTTCCAAAACCAGAAATTCAAATATTATGTTGCCCGTTATTTCCACTAAAGGAATGGTGGTACTGTTTGAGGATACCCTTTCCCAAGGACCTCAAAATTGCCTTGAAGTATAGGACATTGTGACATTGTATCTTCTTTCAGGGTTTCCATAGCTATAAGTATTTGCAGAAAGAATATTTGCTTCTTGGTGGTTTTCATAATACTTTATATGCGGTGATGTCACAAGTGTAAAATAGAAAAAAGCAGAGCTGCCAGTCTGATTAAAGAGGACGTGAAAACATATCTATATGCCTTCACCCATAAGCTCAGGAAAATACTGAGCCATTTCCCCCAGAAGCCTTACAGTTCCATGGACATCAGCTTGAAATCACCTACTCACAGGAAATAGTTGTATGCGTGAGAAAAATTAATACATGTGAACATCACAGATTTATCTCTTCATCTTTTGGCAAGATTTACCCTTTTAATAAGCTTAACCTAAATATGACATGTCTATTATAGTATGGAGGGATATACATGTATTTATATAATATATGTATTATATAAATTTCTTGGCTCTTCTAGATGGGAGACGTCTCATTGTAACTTTACGAAAGATTGATGGATAGTGTGTAAGGTGTAGTAGTTTTTGGTTTGACCACTTTCCCTCCACCTACTATGTCACTGAAACATGCCATCTGGCTCCACCCTAATGGTGGCTATATTTCTCTACTACTATTTCTTTACTAATAATTCTTGTTCACAGTAGCACTATAATAGTGTGATCCTTTACCTCAGACCTGCTTATTAGCACACACACTTCCAGCAACAACAGATTTCTTGAAATGCTATCTTCCATGTCTAATAATTTAAACTCCCTTACTATCTATAATATAAAAGTTCATAAGTACAAAAGGAAACATATTGTTTACCTACATATCAAATAGAAATATGTCTTTTAAAAAGTTCTCATTATCAGCTGTAAATTTGATGCTGACGCAATATCCTTTTTTATAGAGAACCACAGTATAAAACTTACCTTCCTTGGTACTTTCTAACAACAAAGAATAACTTTCAGAATAAAAATATAATAATAATCTGCAATTTGCTGACTACTCAATCTAAGTAGTATAATCAGTAATACAAACAAAATGTGATTCAGGGTTCCTTCTTTAAGACATTTTCTTTTAGGAATTATGCTATTCTAAAGTAGTTTACCCTTCCAGAAATTTCTGTGATTCATTTATTTTTTAATTTTTTTTATTTCTAATTTTTGTGGGCACATAGTATGTATACATATATGTGTGTGTGTGTTTAAAATAATGTCCTGTGTTTTCCTTTCAATTTTTTCTCTTATTTTTACTTCATACACACACACACACACACACACACACACACACACACGTTTACTTATTTTTATGTATGGGTACACGAGATGTTTTGAGTTATGGGCATACAGTGTTAAATAAGTATATCATGGAGAATGGGATATTCATCTCCTCAGTAGTTAATCCTTTGAGTCACAAACAATTCAGATACACTCTTTTAGTTATTTTAAAGTATACATCTAAGTTATTATTGACTATAGTCACCCTGTTGCACATAAAATAATTATAATTAAAATAAATGATAGATCTTATTTATTCTTTCTATTTTTGTTTTTACCCATTAACCACCCCCACCTCCCACCAGCCCCCCACTACCCTTCCCAGCCTATAGTAACCATCCTTCTACTCTCTATGCCCATAAGTTCAACTGTTTTGATTTTTAAGTCCCATAAATGAGTGAGAACATGCAATGTTTGTCTTTCTCTGCTTGGCTTATCACTTAAGATAATTATCTCCAGTTTTGTCCACGTTGTTGCAAATCACTGGATCTCATTCTTTTTTATGTCCAAATAGTACTTCATTGTGTATATGTACCATATTTTCTTTATTCTTTCATCTGTTGATGGAACCAGGTTGCTTTCAAATCTTAGCAGTAAGTAAACAGTGTTGCAACAAACAAAGGCATGCATATATATTTTTGATATATTTATTTTCTTTCTTTTGGATAAATAACCTCCAGTGGGATTGCTGGATCACATTGTAGCACAATTTTTAGATTTTTGAGGAACCTCCAAACTGTTCCTCATAGTGGTTGTACTAATTTACATTCCCACCAAGAGTGTACAAGAGTTCTCTTTTCTCCACAGTCTTACCAGCATTTATTATTGCCTATCTTTTGGATATAAGTCATCTTAACTAGGGGTGAGACAATATCTCATTGTAGTTTTGATTTATATTTCTCTGATCATCAGTGATGTTGAGCACCTTTTCATATGCTTGTTCCATCTGTATGTCTTCTTTCCAGAAATGTCTATTCAAAACTTTTGCCCCTTTTTAATTAGATTATTAGAAATTTTTCCTAGAGTTGTTTGATCTCCTTACATATTCTGGTTACTAATACCTGGTCAGATGGGTAGTTTGCAGACATATTCTCCCATTCTATGGTTGTCTCTTCCCTTTGTTGATTGTATCCTTTGCTGTGCAGAAGCTTTTTAACTTGATGTGATCCTGTTTGTTAATTTTTGCTTTCATTGCCTGTGCTTGTGGGGTGTTAGTATTTCTATGATTTAAATGGCAAGAATTTAAATTGCAATTAGACGTTCTAGTTCAAATTCAGTCAATTCATGTTTGTATTAAATATATCTCAGAGGCATGATTTTTTTTTAAAAAGTAATGCTTGGAAAATAAATTTATATCAACATTCAAGTATTATCCTGCATTTTCCTTTCAGTTTTTTTCTTATTTTTACTTCAGTTTACTTTGAGATACCTTGCTGTTTATTTTATAGTCTTACTATGAATGAAAAGATCTGAAAGCCTGTAGATCACATGTCTCAGGTGTACAGCTGACTATAATGGTCAGAGTTGAATGGATCAGTTAGAGTTGATTTAATCGGAGAACAACAGCAAAACCACAACTGTGTTAGGCTGATAATCATGGCAATAATTTCACAATATAAATGGTCACAGTATTTCTCAATAGAACAGTACTACTGTTTCCATAGAGCAAACTTATTTCATATTTCCTTATTTTTACCTCTCTGGGGCCACAAAAAAAATGTATTTGAAAGTTACTTGTTCCACTAAACATATACTCAACATTTAAGAGCTACAAAATGCTTCTGATGGTGACAAAAAAAAACTCTCCCAAGAATTCAATAGAAATCTGTTTACAATATTTTCCTATTAACAAAAAGTAAAAAAAAAAAAAAAGATGAAGAATGCAGAAGGCAAGTGAATTCATATATGTATGTACTTTAAGTCTCACAAAATCACAGCTGAAGGAGAATTCAATCTGTGTTGCTATTGGAAATATATACAGTTTATTGCAGTTTTATTTCTTCCCAACTTAACATGATTATAAGGATTAAAGAAAATTTTATGAACACTAGCATAGCCTAAAAGTGAACAAAAAAATAAAAAACTGAAAGGTTTGGATATATTCATGTCCTCAGTCTGTTTCTCTTTTTTTTCTTTTCTTTTTTTCTTTTTCTTTTTCTTTTCTTTTTCTTTTTTCTTTTTTTTTTTTTTTTTTTTTTTGTGACAGAGTCTGACTCTGTTGCCCAGGCTAGAGTGAAGTAGTGCCATCTTGGCTCACTGCAACCACCACCTCACGGGTTCAAGCAATTCTCCTGCCTCAGCCTCCCGAATAGCTGGGATTACAGGCATCTGCCACCACACCTGACTAATTTTTGTATTTTTAGTAGAGAGGGGGTTTTACCATCTTGGCCAGAATGGTCTTGAACTCCTGACTTGTTATCCACCTGGCTCAGCCTTCCAAAATCCCACCATGACCGGCCATCAGTCTGTTTTAGCACCTGTAATGGAGTCAGCTTCGAACTGGCACTCAAATTTTGCTATAAACATAAAATAATATAAATAGAAAGACATACACACACACATACACGGAGAAAGAGAGACGACAGAGAAGAAGAGAAAGGAAGAAAAAGGCTGCAAAACAGGTTTCAAGAACCCAACATTTATTAAATGTTTATCTTCCATTGTAATATATCTTCATGCAATTTTTAAAGCCTGGCGCGTTCTTTTAAACAATTTTTAACTAGAATTTTCCCTTCCAGCAATTCCCAAGTGTGTAGTACAGTGCTGTCAGCCACATACACGAGGTTGTGTGGTAGATGCCCAGGACCACCCATCTCCACCTCTTCCTAATGGAAACTCTAGACTCATAGATGACTCCCCAATAGCTCCTCCTCAAGTGTTAAAAACCATCATTCCACTTTATGTTTCTATGACTTTGACTATTTTTGATATTTCATAAGTGGCATCATGCAATATTTGTTTTTTTGTGGTCAGTTTATCTTACTTAGCAAAATGTCCTTAAGTTTGTCCATGCTGTAGTACAATAGGATTTCTTTTTGAAACTGTATAGAATTCTATTGTATGTATGTACTATATTTTCTTTATTTATTTATCTGTCAATAGATGTTTAGGTTGCTTCTACCTCTTGGTTATCGTGAGTAACTTTCTTCATGTCATTTTCTATTCAGTTGAAAATTTTCAATTGTTCCATCACCAATCTGCCCACATCGTTATTTTGCTTTCCTTGTTTTAGTTTTTAGCAAAGATGTTGAAAATGTGCATATGTGCTTACTTAACAATTCACTATATTTTTTTTATTCAATGCAGGTATGTAGATAACAATAAGACAGCCCTGTTCAAGGTGAAATAGCACAGTGAGTTGATAAATAATGGAATGCTGTCTGTCCTTGCAGGATGAGTCTGCTCCAGCTGACAAACAGTGTAAACCAGAGGCGACCCAGGCCACTTATTCAACATCAGCTGTTCCAGGCTCACAAGATGTGCTGTATATCAATGGAAATGGGACCTACAGTTACCATAGTTACAGAGGGCTAGGAGGGGGACTGCTAAATCTGAATGATGCTTCCAGCAGTGGTGAGTATTTATCATAGATTGTGGGGTTTTTTTTTTTTTTTGAGAGCAGGGGAGTGGTGGTAAATTTTCTAAATTTGAGAGAAGAAAATGGATAGACTGATAATAGTGGGTACCAATCTACTATTAATAAAAACAAGACAATTTAATATGTAATGATTGTCTCTCTACATGAGTATATCCCACTTTTGTTGTTGTCTCTGAAAATGGGGGCACTATTATACAATTGAAAGATTGCTGTTTTATACTAAAACAAAAAATCTCAACTAGAGAAACAGCAAATGCTTTTTTTCTAAATAGTGATCCATTCTGCCACCAATGCTATGATGTACTGTTCACTAAGAATAATGCACATTATTTCCATGTTCAAAGAGGCTTTTGATTTGGAAAACTTGAAGCACCAGGAACTTTACTGACTTCATGAAACATACTCAGTCATAACTAAGAACACACAAAATGAAACAACACATAGAAACAACAAACTATCTCCAGAAGATAGTTTGTCAGTGCCAATGGCATGTTCTATCAGCAGTGTTGTACTGGAGCTGGCTTGTACTGACTCTTGGTTGGTAAATTTTTACGGTATAACACTGGTATTGTTTCCTGCTGTTTTACTTTTGTTTAGTTTTTGCTTTTTTTAGTCACAGAAAAGTAGCTAGGTTGACTGGCCCACAATATTCTTCATTTGGGTACTTTCTTCATCAATTCTAGGAATTCCAAAGTTCTCAGTTTGTAAAATGGCATTATCATATCTATCATTTCTTCAAGACATCAAAATAGTCATTCCCCATAACAATTTTGGAGCTGTAGAGAAAGGAACTGCATACATATGCATAAATCTTGAGAGCTAAAAAGGACATAACAGAAGATCAACATTATATTAGATGCCAGCATCGTATCTGATGGATGACAACTCCAGTTAATCTCAGTTTGAGAATTCTTGATTTTAGGATTTGTAGAGATCTGAGATATGCAGAAGGGAGCAGTAACTTTTGAGAGATCAAGTAGAATTAACCTTACATATGATTTAATTTATAAAGTAGATAAAAAACAATCAGAATTTAAGCCACTCACCAGAGAAACTGGGAAGTATGATGCAGGTTGGCAGGAGAATCAGGAGTGCAAAGACTGAAGGGAAAATGATCTTTCCCAGACCCTTTAAAATGAATGTCATTAAAATAACACCATCCATACAGATCATATCATATTCAAAACAAATATATAAGCAGAAGAATAAAAGAGGATACTTTAGCAGTATTTGAATTTAAGTATTTTGGGGTTCTCACATTCAAATCATTGTAACTTTAAGAGAAGCAAAGTTGGATAAGGTAGAACCAATGACATCAAGAAACTTACAAATCAAAGAGATATATTTATATTCTTCCGCTTTTTTTTTCTATATGTCAAAATCCTTTAAGACTCTGATTAAATACTTCCTTATTCTGCCTCATTATCCTTCCACTCTTTGGAAGATTGACCACTCCCTTGCATGTGTCTTTATTCTAATACCGATCTCATTGAATTGTAAGATATATTTTCAAGAAAATTTCGCATTATGGATATGTATTCCTTGAAAGTAGAAATTTCACCTTGTTCACTATTATATCCCTCTAAGTAAGGTCAGACATACAGTAAGTACTCAATGATATTTGCTCAATAAGTGAATATTTAGAAAAAATAGAATTATGTCAAAAGGAGAAAGACTACAGAAATAATTATGCATCTTGGATAGCAGGAGGGAAGGGTTAATCTTAGGTAAATCAAAGCAATTGGAGACAAGAATAATGATTAAACTGAACTTGGGATTTCTGTGGGTGAAAGAGGAATGCTTCAATTCATTCATCAGTTTATTGGTCTACAGCAGTTTTGGAGTTTTATAAACCCCTGTTTAATTTGGAATGTGATAGCAATAGAAAATCTTACCCACATTGGAGACTTCCTAGCAAGGAAATATTCTGTCTACCAATGATGCCAGAGTGCCCTTCAAATCCATCATTAGCCAACCTCCATTTGTTTGGAGCTGGCAAGGGGTTGCACCCAACATCCAAATTTTCAAGTTGGAGTATTATCAAAATGACAGCAGTTACAATCTGTATAAAGAATTTATTCAAATTACTCAACTGAAATGAGAAGCAAGCAAGCAGCCAATCCTCCTGTTATTATCACACCATTTACATAGGACTTTGGACTGCTTTCTTTCTATCAGGAAGTTCACACTGAACTGTCTAAAGAGGGCAATTGTAGTTCACTGCAGTTATTCATTGGATCTCTTGAGTCTAAATTATATGCATAATGCATAAGTTAACTACTGATGTTTCCGCTCTACAAACTCCATGGGGGGAGACATTTCAATTTGTTTTTCAACTCTACTATAAACTGGGCTGATATACAGACCAAAATCTATCAAGACCAAACTGTAGTAATAATGACCATAATCACTAACATTTGTATGGCAATTTCTAGTTTTCCCAACTCTTTACATTCATTAGCTTCCTTGCTCTTCATTAATAATTGGGGTTTGGGCTTTAATGATTCTTTGGCTCAGATCCTTTAATTATGAGCCTAAGGAAACTTGGCCATAAGATTCACCATCACACTAGAACTGGTTTATAGTGGTGTGACTGGCTGTGTATGTTGATAGTGCCAGACACCAGCATTCAGAAACATATTTTTCATCTGAAATGTTTAAAGGAGCATTTTTATTCATTCACTGCCTTCACTTCTTACCTCCCTTTTGCTTTTCTTTTTTTTCTTTTTCTTTCTTTCTTTTTTTTTTTTTTTTTTTTTTTTTTTGAGATGGAGTCTTGCTCTGTCATTGTCACAAGGCTGGAGTGCAGTGGCACAATCTCAGCTCACTGCAACCTACGCTTCCTGGGTTCAAGCGTTTCTTCCGCCTCAGCCTCCCAAGTAGCTAGGACCAGAGGCACGTGCCACCAAGCCCAGATAATTTTTTTTATATTTTTAGTAGAGACGGGGTTCCACTGTATTGGCCAGAATGGTCTCGATCTCTTAACCTCGTTAACCGCCCACCTCGGACTCCCAAAGTGCTGGGATTATAGGCGTGAGCCACTGCACCCAGCCCTTTTTACTTTTCAATCCACTATAAACACCTTCTCCCCACCATTTTGCTGAAACTGATCTGGCTAACTTTATAATGACTCCACTTTTTGCCAAACAAAAGATGGATTTTTGCTCCTTACTTGACTATATTTCTTAAGCATATTTGAATCTATTGATAATTATAACCTTAAAATGACTACTCTCTTGGCAACTGTGCTTATTATACTTCTTAAGGGATCTTGACTAAATCCAAATGAGCATGGGGATAATCAGTTGGAGTGAAGGATGTCTTCTTAAAGTGTGTTCTCTTTTTCTCTTAATACCCTAGAGAGCACAATATTGGAAGAAGAGAAATGGTTCATATCAAACATTTCAGATAAATATCTTGAAATAAGTAAATTCTTGATATACACAATTTCTCATGGTATCTTGTGCTTCTCAGATCATTTTTTCTCTTGCTGCCTTTCTAGAGACTTTTCTTTTCTATTCATGCACGTCCATCCTGGGATTCTTTCAACATCCCACACTTTTCCCTTTAATCCTTGTGTTCTGCACAATAACCAAGATAGAATTCATAGCTCTTACAACTTCAAATAGAAAATACTCCCAAATGTGCATAACAACCCTAATTTTTTCTATAAATTTCAGATTTTGTATCCAGTTCTCTACCAGATAGCATGATCTAGACATCCAGAGAAATCTAATATGTGATATCCAAGAAAATGAATTATTCATCCCCATTCATACTATTACCTGTCTCTGGGGTTATATCATGCTGAGATACCCTCTCCCTTGCACCTGACTCATATCAGTTATTATGCTCCCTATGATATTTTTTCTGTTTGCCTCACTCATTTTCTGGCTAAATTTTTTCCAATATGTTCCCATGCTACTCTAAGCTTATCTCTTATTATTTAACCTGTCATGTACTCCTTTCTAAACTATAGACTATGCACAAGGAGAGGTAGGATGACATTTTTAAAACTGTCTTACCACTAAATGTTACAAGGTAACTGAGTGTTCAATAAATATTAAATGGATACATGAATGACTGAGTAAAATAAATTGCTCCAATAAAATACTATGCCTCTTAAGGGATCTTGACTAAAACCAATTGAGCATGGAAATAATCAGTGTAAGTGAAGGATGTCTTCTTAAAGTTTGTTCTCTTTCTCTCTTAATACCCTGGAGAGCACAATATTGGAAGAAGGGACATGTTTTATATCAAACATTTCACAGAAATATCTTGAAATATATAAATTCTACTTCGAAATCTATTTGGCTTAAACCACTATCTCAGGAAAGAAATCTTTACCATAATTAACCAGGGTCATAGGAAAGCATGCTTTCCTTCTTAAGCTTACACTCTTAATAACTTCTTCTGGCTCACTAACCATATGCAAAAATGTCATGCAGATGTGAGGGGAAGGGACTGTTGTTATCCTGCTCCAGGAGACCAACTGGATGTTTGTTTTGTGCAAAACACATAAAGTCTATTATGTAAAACTTTGCAGATAATGATTTTATCAAGTATAGCCTAAAAGTAATTCACAGAAGCTAAGCAATCCCCCATGGTGAATTTGTATGACCTTTACACAATTGGAAGATCTGCATGGTGGTAACATATTATGTGAAGAAAAATGACTGTGTGATCTAATTGAAGTAAACATAATTGGAATTATACAGTTACTATATCTCCAAGCAGGTCCAATGAAACCTAAGTGAGTTGTCAAAGCACCTTCTGCAGCACACAGTGAAGCTTTGTTTATAAAAGAAACAATGTGTTGTATTTAGGAATTTTTCCCACCAATTTGCAGCTCGCTGAAGGCCTCCCACCTGTGTTTCCTTGATGACCTGATAAAGTATTTTCCTATTTTAAACTCTACAAATTTGCATCCATATTTTGATCGTTTTCTGTTTCTTTCAAATATAAATTTATGTAG